TAGACTTAGCGGGATAACTCCCGTGAGTCAAAAACTTACTAGATACTTGTTTTATGCTATGTCGTTATTTATATTACTACCCGTAATAATGTCAATGATCTGGCCCAAGAAGATAAATCTTCTATTCTATTTATCCAAAGAAAAAAAAATCTACTTAAATCTGTTTGCAATCATTGTGTCATTTATCAAGTGTCATTGTCAAAACGTCAACGTGTTTTGTATACATATATCTTAAGTTGCCTCTTTATACATACTCTTTTGACTTATTAGTTTATACACCTAAAAAACTATTCCACCATTTCCAAAAACAATAAGTTTTATAAGGAAAGGAGAACATTTAGTTGTAAAATAAAGCTTGAGTATACGCGAGGGGAAATTGCACAGCCCGAGAGTCTTTTGGGAATTTACTGTATAGTTTTTATGTGACCTTCTATTACACCGATGATAATAGAATAAATTATAACAATTTGATACTATGTTCGGTAATAATACACGTATACATTGTAACGTCGGTTTGAATATAATTGATTTATTATATGGTATTAAAGCGAACGATTTTAGCCTCACGTAAATAATTTTTATCTGTGCATCTGCATAAAGTACCTAAAACTACCTGGACATAGTATAGCTTTTGTCAAGTCCAATAAAGGGCCCCTTAAATATTATTTATGATGCAAGTCTCGTAACCACTTGTGGATAAATTTCTACGTTTATGGATTCATTTCAGGCGGAAGTAATTTTTTTAGTTTAGTTTTGTATTCATAACTATAAGCATTATGTATTTTTTCACTTCTTGCTTAGCTAATCTACATTAATACATTTTTTTTTGCCTGGAAGAGATCTCTCGAAAGCCGCCAGTTGCCCTATTTTTCATTTAATTATGTTATTTTATATTATGTTAATGCAACGAAGTGTTAATAAACAATAAATAAATCTTAACAATTGTAGATATACCTACATTCTATGGCTACAACATGTGATCACGTCATGCCCTGAAGCGCTCTAAAGTTATACTGGCGACTCAAGATTAATATAACTCGACCTTAGACACGGCTAGTGGTAAGACTGGTATAGGATCCCTTTAGGCCGGAAGAAGAGCTGCACCTTCCTCTACACAATAATGCCGTGCCTTTGTGATAGAAGAAAATCTATCCTGGAAAATCCAGGTTATACGTTAATCACTTAGTTACGGAGTCGTAATGTTCCAATACGAAATCGTTGATAAAGAGTATATATAGCAGTCGCTAATATGTTATAACTTACGTGGTACTTGTACCGGTCTCTTGCCCGACACGGTGTGAGCGTCATCCAGGTTATTCACATGTAAATAGGCGAGTGATATTGAAATTGTGAGGATTCCAAAGATGTAGACGAATCTTTTTGTTCGCTCGTTTGCGGTTGACGTTATAGTTTAGCATATTCTTACCTTATCGTTCACTCTTCACCGATTTAGGTAAATATTTAAATCTTACTTGCATTTATACTAGAAGGAACTATAACTTAAACGTCTCTGATGAAATTCTGTTGCGTTTGAAAAATCTAAGCCCAAAGATTCAGATTCTAGACTTAGCGGGATAACTCCCGTGAGTCAAAAACATACTAGATACTTGTTTTATGCTATGTCGTTATTTATATTATTAACCGTAATAATGTCAATGATCTGGACCAAAAAGATAAAGAGTATCTCTCTCTTCTATTATATTTTAAATGTTTATTTAAAGTTTAAAAGGTCACAGTAGTCGTCAATCGCGCTCTAGGTATCTTAAGCCTATATACGAAATAAAATAAAAGAACATAACATATTGTTGGACAGTGTTGGCCTAGTGGCTTCAGTGTGCGACCCTCATGAGGTCGTAGGTTCGATCCCCGGCTGTGCACCAATGGACTTTCTTTCTATGTGCGCATTTAACATTAATTCGAACGGTGAAGGAAAACATCGTGAGAAAATCGACATGTCTTAGAGCCAAAAACTTGACGGGAGGCTACCTACTTAACATTTAAAAATGATCATGAAACAGATTCAGAAATCTGAGGCCCAGACCTAAAGAGGTTGTAGCGCCATTATTATTATTATATATTGCTGGGAACAGGGATTCCAAGTTGTAATGCAGCTCGCATAAGTTCTGCAACGTGATGGAACATTTCCCACCGGTTACGAGCGGTTGGCGTGTTGTATAATGGAACCATAATATTTAACTGCATTCAATTTTGTTGGTTATCTTTTAAAATTTAATATAAGAAATGGTATTTAGTGAACTGTTTATGTATGGGATAGAATTCCCGTTCGATTTGTGGGCACTATTTTGTTTTTCTATATCAATCAGTTTGTCAGTATTTATGGATTAAACTGATTATAAAATACAAAAATATCAATATACCTAATTGAAATTCATATTTTTATATCAGTGGCGCTACAGTCTCATTAGGTCTGGGCCTCAGATTTCTGAATCTGTTTCATGATCATTTTTAAATCTACTAGGCAAGTAGGTAATCAGCCTCCAGTGCCTGACATACGCCGTCGACTTTTTGGGTCTAAGACATGTCGGTTTCCTCACGATGTTTTCCTTCACCGTTCGAGCAAATGTTAAATGCGCACATAGAAATAAAGTCCATTGGTGCACAGCCGGGGATCGAACCTACGACTTCAGGAATGAGAGTGGCACGCTGGAGCCAGTAGGCCAACACTGCTCTTTCATATTTTTAGACAAGCTAAATTTTAATTGATGAGGCTCCCTTAAGTGTTAAAAAAATTCCACCCTTGATGTAAATTACTACTGGAATATTCTGTTTCTTTGATAAAGCTTAGTCAATGTGGTTCATTTATTTATGAGATGGGTAGGAAACTATGCATCTGCAGCCAAGAACTAAACTAATTTAGGTCTCATTTGAGGTTTGCAGAGGTGCTTGATCATGTAAAGTTCTCTGTATGTGTTGAAAAAGTACTATTCGGAGATTTAAATCAAACGACACGATATTCTCATGTTTTTAAGTTTAAGGTTCTATTGTATGTTCTCGTGACTTAAAATAATCTGTCTAAAACGTTTTCAAGTGTAAATATTACGCCGATACATCGTATTTATAATGCATGTCTATCGTCTATGGTTAGAGGTATGGTATATATTATAATATGTGCAGACATTAATTTGTAATTTTTGTCTCATAGTATACAATGTTAAACTACTTATATAATTTCTTTCAAAATATGTTTATCTTAATTATCTTGTTATATACAGCTTTGTACTTGGCGTACAAATACAAGAAATATGAAGTTTAGATTTGATTGATTTACAAAGTACAATCTCATGAAAATGTCGTACGATATAACAGACTTTATGGCACTGAACTAACATCTTCAACGTACCCTTGACGGTTTGTGTAATTAAAACCACCGAACTAACGAATACAGGTTCCTAAAGAGCATTCATTAAAACTTAAATTTTAATTCAGTATCTTGGAACGGGAACAACTTCATGAATAGAAGTAAATGAGTTAACTTTTGACTTATGATTAAAAGGTTTTACTCAACAAGCTTATGGCGCGTTTTGTCAATGAACGGATCGGTATCAAAATTAAAAAAAATATGTTTTTATATTTGACATTATATATTAAATACTAGCTGATCCGGCAAACGTCGTTTTGCCATGTTTATCATTTATAATAAAAAATAGGGGTTGATCGTAGAGGAGTGAAAATTAGGGGTTGTATGTATTTTTTAATGTTGTATCATAAAAAAATAAAAATAAAAAAATTTATGTACAAATTAAAAATTTAAAAATTAGGGGTGGACTACCCTTAACATTTAGGGGGATGAAAAATAGATGTTGTCCGATTCTCAGTTATACCCAATATGCACACAAAATTTCATGAGAATCGGTCAGGCCGCTTCGGAGGAGTTTAACCACAAACACCGCGACTCAAAGACACAGGCCAAATGTGGACCACACAAATGACAAGCTGAAGTTGATACAAATTTGGGAATTAAGTGATGGCACACCACGATGAAGGTGGCCTGATGATGTCGTAAATTACTTCGGTAAAACGCTCAAGTAATCACGGACAATAATGTAAGGGAATAGAGGAAACTCTTACCCAAGATGGGATTTTTATATGATGCATTTTATGTTTTATCATGTGTAAGACATTTGTCCTTACTTCTTTCTTTTCTTTAGACCTAGTCCTTACTCACTTTTTTTCTTGAACTCACAAACTTATCACACCAATTCAATAAGGTTGACTAGAATTCAAATTCATTATCTAAATGTTTTGTTCTAATTTTAAGTCATTGTTTTAAATGACGACTATGTCGACTATGTGTTTGCGTGTTGTTTCCACGAGAATGTAAGTGCGTGCTCCTATTTCACCATGCCTCCTGCTGATAGAGGACAAGTCTTTATTTTTTTAATTTGTTATTATTATTAATTACTTGATATGTCTTGTGGAACATGGTGTAATGGTTGCAGTTGTAATCCTTACGTAATCCTCACGTTGTGTAAAAAAAGTCATGACGATTAAAAAGAGTGGCGGAGAGTTTATTGCCAGTTCTTCTCTTCCGTTCTACGCCCTTGATTTGAGAACTGGCAGTAAATGTAAAATTAGAAGCATTAATATGTATTTCTTTACTGACGAGTCGTTAGTGTACATTATGCTACCTATATGATTAAATGATTTTTTTACTTTTTTTTTTAAATATAGAAATAAAATCGAAATCAATACTTCAACTTCACGGTATCGCAAGTCTAAATTTAAAAAGAGCAGCTAAAACAAACAAATAAAAAAGCCAGGTTTGACTACTAGTCACTTTATAATATACAATTCACTACCTAATCTACGAATTACAAAATAAATTTAACGTTGTGGAGTAATTAGTAACGCCACCTGTGTTACGCCACATATGCAAATAATTTTATCAGTTAAACATTGACATTATTATTGATTAAAGTAAGACAATAGTCAGTTTAATATGCACTGCCTTACTGTTGTTTTGTTTTTTAAAAATTAAAATGAATTTGAATATTGAAAGTCAAAATGAAGGTAAGTTTATTTTGTATGCACGTGTAGTGTAGGGTAGTGATCAAACTTCACATTTATTTTTGTGTTCTATTTATTATAATTTTATTGTTATATACAGCTTATGTTAATATTATATCATATATATCTCTTTTAATTATAGTATTCTAGTTTAATAATCATTATAAATAAATAGAATATACAATTTGGTATATTTGAGTATCGCTATAGTTACGATACTTATTATTACGGATTAAAATTATACTTTTTGTTATCGTATTGTATAGCGTAAGCCTGATTAAATTTTCGGTAAATTTAAATATTTCCAATTAAGAAAAAAACAAAAACGTCTGTATAGGATATCTCCGTATCATAGGTAGAAACTTATCCAATATAAGTTTTGAGGCTAAAGTAAAAATATTTCGCGTTGGTAGGCACAGGTCACAGATGAGCTATATCTAACTTTGTTTTAAGGAAAAAATAAAATATTCGCCATTGGGGGCCGCAAAACCACAGAAGGGATATTAAATAATATATTTTCAGTTACAGAAAACTCAGAGCAGACTGATCCCATGATAGTATTAGAAGAAGCATTAACTCTATGTAAATTTGGTAAATTCCATTTGCGACTTTTATTTGCGTCGTTTTGCGCCATCATGGCCGCTATTTCTGTAGTAACTACCTCCTCGTTTATTCTACCAATTGCCGAATGTGACTTAAATATGGATATGATGCTAAAGGGATGGTTAAACTCTATGCCATTTGTAGGTAAGTGCTAATATTACTTTAGGCAGTCTATTATTTGTTAATTATTATGATATACGAATAGTATATGGTGATATTATAACGACGAATTTAACCATAACTATAGAAATGTACATAAACTGCCCACTGAAGTATTTCCGAACCAATTCGACTTAGGTCCAAGAAAAGAGCGTGCCAGTTCTGAAAAGACCGGCAGTGCGCTTGTGAGCTCTTGTGAGCTCAGCATCAACATCAACATCAATGTTTTTGTCTTAAACCACTTATTAAAAATCGTAGTTTGCTGCCTAACATTAGAATATTTCATATATTATATTTACGTAAAAAACACCACACTATATCTATAGTGTGGTGGTAACAACAAGCAATATTTTTGTTATATTGCTATCTTAAACAAAAACGATGCCATTATTATTTGACTCAAATTCTGGTTTAAGTTGATATTATATAATAAATTGATGTAAGAAACATTTTATAATAAAATTACACAACAACGGGAGTTTTAGAATATAAAGGCAACATGTTTTAGGTCAAATTGGAGTCAGTCTTTTTGTTGGCTTCTTAGTAGACACATTTGGTCGTCGTATTTTTCTAATAACCGGAAACCTTGGCATATTCATAACTGGCTTACTTGAAGGGACAAGTCAGACATATTGGATGCTTGTGATTGTGAAAATGCTTCAAGGTATCGCGTAAGTATATTATCACGACATATATAGGCCCCATGGGGCAGATGTATCCTCTGTCTGTTTTATTAAAGTAGGTGATCAACCTTCAGTGCCTAGTTATACGGAATTTTAACCAACTAGCTACTAAAGTGATTTTTTTTAATATTTCCTAGATAATTCCCCGAATATGTTGTCGTCGGATTCGGTTTTCTTTTAACTACTCTTTGTATGACCTTTACAGCAAATTCCAGAAAGATGTCTCTTAACCTAATGTTGTACTAGTTCAACGTATCTATCCAGTAATGTCAACAATCAACCCGCACTGAACATAAATGATAAATATTTAAATTTTCCCCGGCTAGAAAAGCAATTCTAGCGATAATTCTGTTCGCATGTTAAAAGTAATTTTCTTTAATAGATACTCTAAAATTCAGTTGTCAGCCGCAACATCTAGTATTTACATATTTTTTATTACAGTATGAGTATAACATATGCAGCAATATCAACAATGCTGTCAGAGTTCATTCAGAAGGAATTGAGAGACAGAATTTTATTAATTTTCGGTGGCTTCATGTCTATTTCGATTATTGTGTTATCTCTTATGTCTTGGGCAATTTTACCACAAACACAATTAAATATAAGTTTATGGAATGGATATTTTGGTGAGTGGTGTTTCAGTTTCCTGAACATTATAATAAAATTTGCTTTATCTACGCGAGTATCTTCGTTAAATTTAAAAGTGTAAAACTGTAGTATTGTCTTTGATTAACATAACTTTTATTCATTTAATAAAACACTATTTTGACCGGATTGAAGTTATGTATTATTATAAATTTACAACTATTTAACATAATTTTAAATAGTTTGTAAATTTATAATAATACATAACTTCAATCCGGTCAAAATAGTGTCTTATTAAGTGTAAAACTGTGTTGAATTACATGAAACCTCGCTTCATAGTTTAAATTAATCATAATTGAGTTATTAAATGCCATTGCAATGGCCGCTGATCTTTGACGCCAGTTAAGATATGTTAAACAAAAATTAATATATTTATACTAAACTTAATTTGTGTATCAAATAACCATAATCCAATAGCGCTACAGATCATAAAGAGGCTTGGCCTCAGTATATTGTCGATAAAAATTAATCAATATTAGAAATTAGTTAGGAAGAAGTCCAGTGACGGATTTATCAATAGTTCATTACCTAAAACATGAAATTATGACAAAATACCTTTTATTGTAATATTATAATTGAACAGCAATGTAATATTAAATATATTTATAAATTAAGTTTTATTTGTTTCAGAAATTCATTCGTGGAACATTTACCTATATGTATGCTCAATATGGAGTTTTCTAGCTTTTATCATGTATTATACATTACCAGAAAGTCCGAAATTTTTACTCTCTGACGGTCATAACGAAAAGGCACTGGATGTTCTGAAGTATATATATCATGAAAATACGGGAAAACCTATTGATACATTCCCCGTATGTAATTAAATGTTTCTCTTAATGTATTCTACGTATATATACATTTCCAAATTAGGTTATAAACTAATTTTAACTTAGTCAAGTTTCCCATATAGGTTCATTTTTCCGTAAAACTATATTTTACGAAATTCAAGTTTAATTATGTCATAAGAGAGCCGAGTATTTTTAAAGGATATAATATATCTCATCACATAACTATATAATACACTTTTTGATTCTATTGTATTATGTAAATTAAAATCTATTTATGCAATAATAACTAGGGAAAAAGAAAATGTCAAGTTTTCAATGTGAAGTGTTAGAATATATTATACTTATGTTTAGGAAGAACTAATTTAAATTTAAACAAAAATAATATGGTTTCAGATAAAACATTTAAAATGTGGCATTCCAAATAAATTAGATAGAGATAAAAAAATCAATTTCAAGAAACAAATAGTGAACAGTTTGTTTGAAGTGAAGCATCTGGTCGATAAAGTAGTTGTTTACCGACTCATTTTAATGTGTGGCATGACGTTCGTTTATTTGTCTACGTAAGTATGTTTAAATTCGCAATATATATTAATTTTAACGTACAAGTTATACGTCGACAACCTCCTTGTTGATTCGATTTCCGTCGAAACAGTATTTGTAGCTACTTGATACTGAATCTTTAGGGCTTAGAGAGTAGCACCTTTTCCCATATTTAATCATAAATAATTATTAAATATTAAATAACATTAAAACGTTAATAGCTATTAAAGAAATGTTTACGGCTCTGTTTCCCAAAAACTTCTCATAAATGAGGTTCTTTTATTGAAAATATGATGTTACCTATACTTTATGAACTAAATTTTTAATTGGAAGTGTAGTGGTATGTTACGCAGTACTCATTCGAATATCTAATACATTTTACCAACCAATATAAGTTTTTCGTATAAATGTAAAATGCCATCAAAACATAACTTGTAAAAAAACTAATCTCGCAACTCTGTTCTTCTACCGTAAAAAGTTGTTTGTACAAAGTCGGTTAATTTATTCAATCCCCACATAAGGGACCTTCTGTCTTAGGTTATTACATAATTATCTAATCTACCAACGTATAGAACTAGTATTTATTTACAGATACACTTGCCTGCGATTATGGTACCCACAGATATCAACGACAGTAGAACATTATTATAATGATCACGGATATTCGTCGCGCTTCTGTGAAATGATAAATTACAGAAATAACCAGAGTATAAGCAACGCAGATGTAACACACCCAGATATTTGCGAGCCGGTAGTAACTTTAACATACTTTTTCGGACAGCTTACTCCTTCGAGTAGGATAATTCCAATGATTTCAGAATGAACCTGATATCCTTTCAAATTAAAATTGGATATAATCTTAGACGATGTTCAAAAATTTATTGAGTTTTGATAAGGCTCTAGATTGCAAGGTTTATACGCTTACTTCACTGAATATGTTCTTTAAAAAAATTTCTTTTAAAATGTATTATCCATATAAAATGCAGGTAAGAAATAAGAGTAGCTCTAGCTACTAGCTACTCTAATTTCTATAGATATTAGTATAGATAACGTACATATATGTTAAAGATTTTACAATAAAATAGTGAATTTTGCCCTGTATATAAGTATAATAGCAGTCGTTTTGGAAATAAATTTTAGATTACTATATAGCTTTTTAAATCTGTTTTGTGAAATGGTTTTTTTTCTGTTTTTGATGCCTCTTTAACTGCTTCAGGCGCAGGACTCAAACAAAGATTTTTAATTTCAGCAAGTGAGTGGCTCTGAAACATATATGAATTCCATGCTTTTGGGTATAACTGGACTGGTTTTTGTTGGAGTAGCCAGTGTTTTAGTGCACTGGGTAGGACATAGACTATTGATCTTTGTAGTACAATTATCCTGCGCCGCATGCGCAAGCAGTTTGTACTATACGAATTCTTCAACACAAATTGCCTTCCTCATATCTTTTATTTGTGCATTTAAGCAAGCTAATGGATCGTTACAATCGAATATTCTTGTAAGGATATTTCCTACGAAATTAAGGTAAGTCATGTATATATTCTTTGTTATTTTTAAATGTTAAAGAAATGTTTAAATTGCGTCACGGCGTGCATAACACATACTAGCTGCTAGCAACTCTCAATCGTGACCTGGTGTGGTCGATCCTCGGCAATGTATGTTTATTTTGTGAAAACACATATTATTATACAGTTATACATACAATTATTATCGGTCTACGAAAGCATTAAAATACATTTTGTAGTTTAAAAGACCGAGGCGTGCTGACAGCAATAATGGCTTTGTTATGAAAAATATAAATTATAAAGAAGTGAAAACCTCATTATTTTCAGAGCTCTAACATTCTCAATAGTGATGATAGTGGGTCGACTGGGATCACTTTTGGGAAATATTTTGTTTCCTATTCTATTAGAGATGGGATGTATGGCCCCGTTCTTAACTTTATCAGTTGCTTCACTATGTAAGTGTTAATATGTTTAATATAAACTTTTGTAAATGTACTACTAATAACAATATTATTAATTTAATTATATATTACACAATATTCACCCGTTTAGTAGTACGAGATCAAAATGGCGGATTAATTTTAAATAAATTACACAAGTATTTTACTATAATTCAGAAGAGCAAAACATTAATATATCCGACCAAACAGTATCTGAATCCATTCAAACGTACTGACAATATAATAAGAGTGTTTGTTACTGTACAACGTTGCTACCAACTTCGCTTCGTAATGTTTTAACAAAACGCAATATTAAATTTTAATTCCCACTTTATGAAGCTAAGAGCGCTTAATTATACATGAAAGTGGATTATTAACACTTATTCAGACACCCTGTATAGGAATAGGATATGTCAGCGATAAAAGGTTTTTGCAACGGCTACTTGTTTTGTATCTATGGCTTGGTTGTAATGCACCTTCGTGTAGTGTCAACAGTTTTAATTTGGTTGTGTTGCGTGAACAACATGTTATTATTGGCTAATAAGTTGTGAAGTTCGACGCGGTGGACCGAAATACTATGTATAGTTTTTGTTTCCAACATACTATAAACTCCTTTTTTATATACATATACTAGCTGCCCCCGCGAACTTCGTTTCTCCTTAATGTGATTTTACTTAGCTAGCCTACCTTTTTAGTACATACCATACCATACATACCATACATGGAACATTTTGGTATGCTACCCCAGAGACTGCTCGGTTTTCCGGAACGTAAACTTTTAAGGTTTTTCTGTGAAATTAAGGGTTGTATGTCTTTTTGTATAAAAATATAAAAACAAAAATTTTTATCTAAAAAATTAAAATTAAAATTTAAGGGTTCGATAGATAGATAGTAACCGATTCTCAGACTTACTGAATATGCATAAAAAATTTCATAAGAATGGGTGGAGCCGTTTCGGAGGAGTATGGGAACGAACATTGTGACACGAGAATTGTATATATATTAGATTGTAATAAATAAATATCCAGACGTTACGTAAAATAAAAAATAAAAAATATGTTTATTATGGAACATAAGATACATGTATCACTTATTCCACGTCATTCAATTTGAAGGCATCCCTACTCATCGGCAAAGAAGACAGAGGGTGTAGGCCGAGAGAAAAAGCCGGCGTAAAAAACTCTCGGTACTCTTTTAAAACAGCAAATCATCAAACAACACTTATTTAAAACAAATATCGCAAATTAATTAGAAGTAGCCTGTCTAGCACTAGTCCCAGGCCCTTTTATCAACTAGATAATCGTTGACTTTATAGTTAGCCTTTTTACACAGCTTTTCTTTAATACATTTCTTAAATTTATTGAAAGGCAGTGATAAAAGAGCCTCTGGGATTTTATTAAAGAAGACTATCCCTTTCCCCAAAAAACGTACGTTACGTTACGTATACGTTTATACTATATTAACTTCCTATATAATCTGAATGCATAAAATATCTATCATGAAAAACGTTATTAATAGGGACAGCGATATTTGAATTATTTGGTTTTATGAGATGGAAATTGGAAAATAAAATATTTTCATATTTATTTTTACAGGTCAAGCGAGCGTGGTTTATTTTCTTCCCGACCTTAATGAAGAAAACAAAACTGGTGATAAATAAACATTTTACGAAATCTTCATTTTGTTTTATTATATAACTAATACTGAAGAGAATTAGATTTTTCTATTAGATGGCATAGCGTGTTAAGATGAATACCTATTTTTCTTTCATAGACAATTTTCGATTAGAACTTTATAATTAATGCTGTATAACCGTGCTTATTTTATCGTATCTAACCGTAGAATATAATAATAATTTTGATGCAAATATTGCAATTCAGCTACACAGTTTAGTGACCGATTTATACCTACAGATTAAATGCATTTAGACCTTTTCTAAATAGGTAAATAGGAACCGATAACGCTTAACGTGCGATAACCGTTTTTGTGAAACCTTACTTAATCTAAAGCATCACACAAAAAAATTTTTTAATGAGATGATCTGAAACAACTTAAAAATAGGTATAATAGTAACTTGAAAAGAGTCTGTTTCTATTTTTATTGTAAAATTTCTGAGTTATTCTATGACTCAGTAATTGGGAAAGTTCGACTAGCGAATATATATTGATAATTTTATTCAAGAATCAGATTGGTTCTTTTATAAATTTTATCAATAATAATATATTAACGAATAATTAATCTTACTTCTACTTAACTTTTAAGGTAAGAAATAACAGTAGTAACAAATATAAATTACTGGCAACTTAGTGGTATGACGAGGATTTCGTATATTTTGCCAAGATTTTTTGTGAAATAATAAATGTTTATGGAAATCATTTTTTAACAACTATCTCTCTTCCGTAGTTTTTTGAGTTTATCGCGTACAGACGTGGCCAGGGAAGACTGAAATGTTTGTATTTAATATGTAAGAATCGCGTATACTATTATGATTATACCTTGCAATCGGGTCGCAAAAATATCATCAACTGCCACCTACATTATAAATAGCTTAGTTTTATCCTAGAAACAGTATAAAATCGCAATAGGTTATTGTGTACCACTTTATTATATGTTTTGAGATTTATAATAATTTTTACTGTACGCCTAAATGGACGACTAAAAGTAAAAGGCACCCGTTTTAAGTTCATAAATGGCTTTCGTCTGGCCCGCAAGGAAGTTGTCTGATGGCGCCTCGCCTTATAGTCTAAGATCCGACCGCGTGATTTATACGTTCATATGTTTGATTAATAAAATATAATTTTTATCGATATTTATAACTAAACCAATGCAGATCCGCAAAGGTGGCCATCCAAATTTGGCCGCAATTAATTTTAATTAAAATGTAATTAATTATTTATTTTTGAACAATTACGTTCACTTGTAATTGTTAAAAAATATATTTCATTAGAAAGAAATATACCTGAGATACCGAGAAAGTTGAAGGTGCCATCCCTCACTTGGCCGCAACCTAATGTCAGCCAGGTGTAAACAGGTATAATTTCGTTAAATATATACGTTCATAATGTATTATCATGTTATACATACCAAATTGAAGATTAATTCTTTCCCTACATGATGAGATATAGGTGCCTATGCAAAAATGCCCGCAAATAGTGACTGCCAACGATTAAAGATAAATAAAAGCGAGAGAAACTTAAGATAAACACCCCATGTCGAATAAAGATAGAGCATCCCAGCTGCTTGTCGTTTTTATGCTACTGCGCATGCGTCCATAGATAAGGTGCTCAACTAGTAGCTCGCGTATTTGCTTGGAGTTTAAAATACTCCAAAAATTGAGCAGTAAAAATAATATGTCATAATAATTAATCTACCAAACTAGTGTTTTCAATATTTTTTTAATTATATTCAACTAAAACAATATTTTTTAACTGTGAAACGTCATTTTAAATATAAAATTTATCTTTTAAATAAATTTTGTTTTATTACAATTTTTAACAATATTAAGTTTCGTTTATTTTCGGTCTTCATAAAAAATGTCATAAAAATTACTATCCAAACCAGTGTTTTTAATTTTTTTTTTAATTATATCCAACTCAAACAATAACTTTGAACTGTAAGACGTTAATTTGAATCTATATTAAAATTTATCTTTATACACAAATGTTTTTTTTATTTTTATTTTCATCAATATAAAGTTTCGTTTATTTTCCTTGAATCCTTGATTAAAGAACTGAATTAAAAACAATGGTAACAGAATTAAACAGAATTGATTAAAATTAAAATTTTTGTGACGTCGAAACAATATCATTAAAAAACACTTTTTAAATGATACATCACTAAAGTTAAGCACTTCTTGCTTTTCATTACACAACAAAAAACACTTCTTCATTTTATTCTTACGTTTTAATAACGTTAAGAATGAAATATATCAATATTAATATTAACAAAGTTTTATAATTTTGGACTTGAAAAAAAAAAACGTGGCGCATAAGACTGTCAAAAACATATGATTGCAATATTCAGTACGGTATTTAGTTGAGCACCTTGCCTATGGACGCATGCGCAGTAGCATAAAAACGACAAGCAGCTGGGATGCTCTATCTTTATTCGACATGGGGTGTTTATCTTAAGTTTCTCTCGCTTTTATTTATCTTTAATCGTTGGCAGTCACTATTTGCGGGCATTTTTGCATAGGCACCTATATCTCATCATGTAGGGAAAGAATTAATCTTCAATTTGGTATGTATAACATGATAATACATTATGAACGTATATATTTAACGAAATTATACCTGTTTACACCTGGCTGACATTAGGTTGCGGCCAAGTGAGGGATGGCACCTTCAACTTTCTCGATATCTCAGGTATATTTCTTTCTAATGAAATATATTTTTAACAATTACAAGTGAACGTAATTGTTCAAAAATAAATAATTAATTACATTTTAATTAAAATTAATTGCGGCCAAATTTGGATGGCCACCTTTGCGGATCTGCATTGGTTTAGTTATAAATATCGATAAAAATTATATTTTATTAATCAAACATATGAACGTATAAATCACGCGGTCGGATCTCGTACTATTACGGTATTTTGGCTTATAAGCATCCTGGCGGCTTGTCGATGAGCACGCACCGAAACTTATAAGTTTCGGTTATTATAATAACAAAAATAACGCAATTTTATAGAGTACGACACGCTCACTACATTTTTTCACATCTTTATTTTCCGGAAAGCAAGTTTTAAAATTATTTTTAAAAAATTTCATTTTCTCGTTCGCTTTTCCAAAACGAGCGTTTTCATTCATTCCATTTAACGAAGTTAACCTTTAATTTCTCATTAAGTTTATTGTTCGAATAAAACCTATTATTCCGATAAAAGAGGTTTTCATAATAGATCAAATGAAATGATATTAATGTAGGATTATATTACGAAATATTATTCATGAATTAATATCATTATTATCAATATTGTTATCATTAATACGATTTGTGGACTAGGCTTATAAAAAACCGTAGAATGTAAGGCACCAAGTTTAAAAACCCTTAGTAGTTTTTGTACTCCTTATTTATTTATAATGTTTAAGCAGTAAAACAAATTAATATTAGTACCTACAGGGAAGGCAAACATCGTGAGGAAACAGACATGGGTTAGGCATGCTGAAACTTGAAAATATCTAAATATAAATTGGTTTTATTGGAATTATGAAACTTATTTTATCTATGTATATATTAAATTTAAACGCGAATAGTTTAAACTAGATACATGGCAATTTAAATCTTTATTGCTGTTTTGCATTTATGCCCACGTTTACGCTTTATTAACAACGAAATTATTGTATGAAGTATGCGCGTTGATAAAGTATGTGATTAAGAACCCTCCAGTGATTAAGAAGATTGAATAGTATTGGCCTATTGGCGGAAGCGTGCGACCCTCACAAGATCCTGCGTTCGAATCACGGCTGTGCACTAATGGAATTTTCTTTCTAGATGATCATTTAGCACTTGCGTTATAATTATTTAAGGCTATCAGTATATTTTACCACACAAGAACAATTGTTAGACTAAACACGAAATGATAACGATTATTACCACTAAACGTTTTCAAATCTCATGACCTATTTAAATCCTACAAATCTGGGTAATTTTAAACAGTTTCCGTATTGAGCAACAGATCAATATAAAGTTGCTGTGACACAATTAGCCTTGGAAATAGTTTTTCCTTTATCTTTTATACAGATTCACATCACGGCAGCCTTCGGGAAATGGAGCAACTTGTGATTTTGTCGAGTCAACGGAACATTACGGCGTGTTCTATATACCCGGTACGAGTAATTCACTAATAAACTATTTTATTATTATATTAAATTGCACTATCTTTACAGTTGTGATATATATACAAATATTTACATTAATCTTTTATCAGTAAACAACGCGTTGCTGTTATTATGCTGATTATTTAAAAAAGGAATTTATAACTATTTGTAACTACACGGAAGCTTGAACCATTCAAATTCTATTCACTATTATATCAGAGATTATGAGAAAAACATTCCGTTCTTCCGTAGTCGTTCATGTTAACTATGCATTTTTAATAAAGAAATCAATGCATTCGAGCTATTAAAACTTGACATAATTTTGAGATAAAATTGACATGACATATAATAATTCTCTCATGTGATTAGATCGAGTGACACACGACACGATCCACCTTTGCGTTTTACCAATGACAACCAAACGAAATGCACAATCGTGTTGCCAATTGCCATGGTGCGTTTTCCTACCATGTGTCTCTCATAGAACGTATAATCACAAATAAGCGACGCGGACTTATTTTTCAAATCAATGTATTTTATTTTCTTTTAATTCTTACATTCCAAAGGATACCATATAGGATACATCGTATTTATAATACTCGTCTATCGTCTATGGTTACAGGTAAGGTATAAATTATATGTGCAGACATTAATTAGTAATTATTGTCTCATATTATACAATGTTATACTACTTGTATAATTTCTTTACAAATATGTATATCTTAATTATCTACTTGGCTTAAAACTACAAGAAATATCATGTTTAGATTTGATTGATTTACATAGTACAATCTTATGAAAATGTCAAACGATATAACAGACTTTATGGCACTGAACTAGCATCTTCAACATACCCTTGACGGTTTGTGTAATTAAAACCACCGAACTAACAAATACAGGTTCCTAAAGAGCATTGTAATACATTTGTCCTTACTTCTTTCTTTTCTTAAGTCCTAGTCCTTACTCACTTTTTTTCTTGAACTTACAAACTTATCAAACCAACCTTTGTTCACTAGGATTTAAATTCATTATCTAAATGTTTTGTTCTAATTTTTAGACAATGTTGTAAATATAGAAATAAAATCACAATCAATACTTCAACTTCAGGCCAGGTTTGACTACTAGTCACTTCATAATATACAATTCACTACCTAATCTACGAATTACGAAATAAATGTAACGTTGTGGAGTAATTAGTAATGTAAACTGTGTTACATCACATATGCAAATGATTTTATCAGTTAAACATTGACATTATTATTTAATAAAGTAAGACAAGAGTCAGTATAATTTGCACTGCCTTACTGTTGTTTTGTTTTTTAAAAATTAAAATGAATTTGAATATTGAAAGTCAAAATGAAGGTAAGTTTATTTTGTATGCACGTGTAGTGTTGGGTAGTGATCAAACTTCACATTTATTTGTGTGTTCTATTTATTATAATTTTATTGTTATATACAGCTTAGGTTAATATTATATCATATATATCTCTTTTAATTATAGTATTCTAGATTAATAATCATTATAAATAAATAGAATATACAATTAGGTATATTTGAGTATCGCTATAGTTACGATACTTATTATTACGGAATAAAATTATACTTTTTGCTATCGTATTGTATAGCATAATCCTGATTAAATTCTGGTAATTTTAAATATTTCCAATTAAGAAAAAAAAAAAAACTGTTAAAGCTAAAAAACAATAACGTCTGTATAAGATATTTATTCAAAATGCATCAGACACAGTAATGGATATCTCGTATCATAGGTAGTAACTTATCCAACATAAGTTTTCAGGCTAAAGTAAAAATATTTCGCGTTGGTAGGCACAGGTCACGAATGATCTATATCTAACTTTGTTTTAAGGAAAAAATATTATTCGCCATTAGGGGCCGCAAAACTACCGAAGCCGCTATTAAATAATATATTTTCAGTTACAGAAAACTCGGAGCAGACTGATCCAATGATAGTATTAGAAGAAGCATTAACTCTATGTAAATTTGGTAAATTCCATTTGCGACTTTTATTTGCGTCGTTTTGCGCCATCATGGCCACTATTTCTGTAGTAACTACCTCCTCGTTTATTCTTCCAATTGCCGAATGTGACTTAAATATGGATATGATGCTAAAGGGATGGTTAAACTCTATGCCATTTGTAGGTAAGTGCTAATATTACTTTAGGCAGTCTATTATTTGTTAATTATGATATACGAATAGTATATGGTGATATTATAACGACGAATTTAACCATACCTATAGAAATCTACATAAACTGCCCGCTAAATTATTTCCCAACCAATTCGACTTAGGGTCCAAGAAAAGAGCGTACCAATTCTGAAAAGGCCGGCAGCGCGCTTGTGAGCCTCCTGGCAGTGGGAGTGTCCATGGGCGGTAGAACTTAACATCAGATGAGCCTCCTGCATGTTTGCCTCCCGTAACAAAAAAAATCAACATCAACATCAATGATTTTTGTCACACCACATATTAAAAAATACGTGTTTGCTGCCTAACATTAGAATATTTCATCAATAG